GACCTCTTTGTTAAAAGTCTTTGTTGCGCTAATGATCTTTTAAAAATATTATTTGCCCTTTTCTTCGTGCCACTGCGATGACCAGTGCTGGGGGGCAAGTTCTTTGTGAGCGAGCGTAACGTAAGAGTCAGAGCAGATGTACCGTCGGCTTATCTGCCTCATGGCTGCGTATCCCCGCATGTTCTTAACTTGCATGTTTTCAGTGATAAAAAAGGCCAGAAGCAACATCACTTTTCTTTTTCCCGGTGCCCTCAAACTTCAACATTAATATTAACACCCACACGCTTATACAACCCCACATGAACAGCACACACAGAAAAGCAACTGTGACTGGACTAAAATGTGAAACATGCATTTATTTAACAGCTTTAGATACAGAAGCATAAAATACATTATACATACAATACCTTTGCGGCTTTCCATCAAAACACAAACAGACACCTGCACACTACAGGCATGCATGTGTCTCCATGGACACACAATGCATGCTAACTATGAACAATAACACGTCCAATAGGTATCCAATTTTGACCACTGTGTTTCTCTGAAAAAGATTGGAGTCTTTGTGTGCTCCATGTTTTCAGGGAACAAACATAGATGCTGACCTACAGGGTCAACATGCAATTTAATCTCAGAGGGGCTCTCCAGTCTTACAAGGCTACTAGACATGGAAGGAGGCAGGGCCAAAAAGACAAGAGTGTTAACCCTTATCTGAACCCAACTACATGCAGGTTAACCTACTACTGAAGAACACGTATTTCATGGGAACACTGGTCAAGTTCGTACTGCTGCAGTGACTCACAGTCGCAAAGACTGGTGGTACTCTCGTCTCAAAGGCAAAATCCTACATTTATCATGAGGAGATTGTCTCCCAATTGCGTTTTGTGTAAAAAAGCAGAGATGAGGGTCTATCTGCGTCAATAGAACAATGCTATAGCATAAGAGCATACTGCTATTTATTCTCCATTCTTCCCATTTCAACTCTGGATATGTCTTTGTCACATGTCAGGTGGCTCTACACTATGCATTTAGCCAGACAGGCTTTGATTGATACGAAGCTGTGATAATGTGGGCGATAAATTGTTCTGAAAGGCCATAGACGATATGAAAAGAAATTAAGGGCTTGAGTAGTAATTGTATAAAATCTTTTCACAAAGACTGACTGTAGTCTGACACATCAGTTTGACTTTCTTTTGTGTTAATTTAAAAGAAAAAAATATGTTTTATGATTTATATAGTCAAGGGGGCACTTTTTTTGGATTTGTCTTGCCTCCTAAAGTGCTGCTAATACAGTGAGTGCCGGGGGATATAGAAAAAAAGCCATTAGGGATGGTTGAAAAGGAAGCTCATTTTTAACATAGCGTTATCAATTTGCAGTCTTCTCTATTCCTGCTAATTTGAATGTCGAAAAGAGGAGGGAGGGGCGTCAGATAAGGAAGCAGGAAGGTCATTATTTCAAGGAGAATTGAGTGACATGAATATTGTCATTTTTGCAGACAGTCATGCTTTACTGCAGTGCTTTTATCAGAGAGTTTGACATCAATATCAGCAGTTAACCCTGACAGTCAGTAGAAAACACAGCGGGGGGGCAGCTCCCTCTCAGTCCTTGAGAGCCCCGCTGCCATATCAGTAACATGATGATGGTGCATTGTTTGCTCTGCCAAATGCCAAAGCCTTTTTTCCCCAAGGTCTTTTGATTAGTCTAATCAGGACATCACTGCCATAATGGCATTATTAACAGGATATTGGCCCCAAGGTGTCAAACACAATATCATTTAATATCACCGTGAAAAGATTGATTTGAGGTGAATATGTGAATGGATCAGTAGCACGTTTATTATAGGCAAGTGTTAAACTAAGGTATTCAAATATGAAATCACTCAGGCAGAACTTTAAACACTGAGGAAATTCAATTGATCGACAAAAAAATGGGCATGGAAATTTGCTAAATGACTCAAAACTGAATGAATAATCTCGATAAAGGATAAATACTAAGTGAAAGAATAAAAGGCAGATTTCTTTATTTTTACACATTTAAAACACATTTTGCGCACACATTAATCCAGCACAAGACTGAGTCTTTTAGATTTCTTAATTCTTTAATTATTTTCTATTTAAGTATTTTCTGTCTGTAACTAAGTGTTTTTCTTTATACTTCTGCCTGTCTTGGCCAGGTTTACCGAGGCAACATATTTATTTTTTTACTTACTTTGTAATTTCAAAGTCACACTACATACTGTATGTCTGGAGTATCCCTGCAATCCCAGATATCTTATTCCATTTCATCTTTTGACTGAGTGCATTGGATGCCATATGTTAAGTATAACGCTCTGTAACTTTTAACAATATTATAATACAACTTTAGTAGGGTTTTATTGTATGAATTACAGTGAATTTGACACCACTCCATCTGTGCATAAAGCTGTTCTGAAGCCTTAAACTTGGAATGTGAAAATGAGCAACACTCCAGCCTTTTGTATAAATAATTGATAACATTATTTAAATACACTCTATACCATGCATTAATATTGAAACCTACAGCGATAATATGTATGCTACCTATCAGTTTCATGGATACAGAAAATTGTTTTTATTCCAGTGCTGCAGTGTCAAACCACACAATGGTTTCTTATTAAAAGAGGCCCTATTATGCTTTTTAGGTTTTTGCTTTCCTGTAGTGTGTTGTATAGGTTTGTGTGCATGTAAATGGTCTGCAAAGGCTAAAATCCCTGTGTTCCCTCCAGAGGGAGTTTCTCTCCCACCCACTCTGCCTGAAACGCCTCCATTGGACTCCTGTGTTTACTTCGGTAACATAATGACATCACTATGTAACACTTGCGCTATCATTGGCTAGTGCTCCAACACATTGTACGTGATAGGCTAAGGGGCGGGACATCTCTAAGCGGTTGACCAATCACAACAGAGCCGGCCAGCTAACCAATCAGAGCAGACTGGGCTCTGGTTTCAGACAGAGGGTGAAAAGAGATGCTGCAGCACAGGCAGTATGAGAGAAATAAAGAGCTTTTTGAACATTAGAGCATGGAGACATGTCCCAGTAGAGACACTACATAGAAATATGAACCAGAAAATAAGCAGAATAAGGACCTTTTAATCAAGGGACACTGTTTCTCATGTATAATAATTAGTGAATGAGAAGACAGGACTACAGTGAACTCTCACTAATAACAGTCACTCACACCATATTAATACGTTTGACCTCGATTTGATATAAGGATTTGAATTCTGCAGAATGGTTGAGTTAGATTTTTGTGTCAGCTTAAGAAGTATAATCACTGACATCATTACAGATAACTGGGACATCTTCTGATGGAGTAATGCACCGTGACTGTGAGAGTCTTACGCAACGTCTGATACAAATCCCTTTTTGTTTCTTGAGTTCATGACAGCTTCATGCAGCAAACTGTAGGCTCAGTAGAGGTCTTACTGAAAATGTCATAGGGTTGCAGTATATGCATGGGGTGTTAAATAATCCCCCAAAATAACAATTCTCAATTGTATGTTTCAGTTGAACAAATAAGATTTTGTATTCTCGACAAATCAAATGAAAGCACAGGTATATATAAAGCAAATGCTGTGTAGGGATATATTTTAATACTCCTCAAGTAGTCTTATTTAAGAAATGCCATTACACTGACTGGCATGGCATTTTTTTATTTTATATTATATATTCTATAATGTATTTTACAGTAGTAGGATTGTGTATGTGGGATAGAAGCTAAATAAACTAGTGCTCCAAACACATATTAATCCACAGCTGAAAAATAGTTCCTTATAATTGCACTATTTACTTTGCTGAACTTTACAGTTCCCTGCTGCATAATTCAGGATTTGTGGCTTCGGAATTGTCTTTTTTGAAAGTAGTAGCGACAAAGGGTGAGGCTAATGCAGGACACCCAAAACTTTTATTCTGAAAATCTCTGTGAAGGTTTCCAAAAAAAACACAGCTGAACTGTTGGGATTAATAAGAATGAATCTGTCAACAGAATGTAGGTCTGAAGGTGATCATATCTCTGGCAATAATATAGTAAGAAAGAAAACAATATTTGCTATTATGTTTGCATGGAGAGGGATGGGCAGGAAAATCGCTGTAATCCCTAGATGGTGTTGATAAATGATGATGACACAGTAATGATGATTAAGATGATCACAAAGCAGACAATTATGAGGATGAAAATGATGTGATGGAAGATTTTGCCAATTGCTCTGCAGGATTGTTTTTCATTGTTGGCACTGATGTTAAAAGCAAATATGGCTGTTGGCGCCATCTGGTACCTTATGGTATGTTAGGGGATTAGTCACTCCCAACATAACTTGTCTAAGGGAATTTCCTTTGTCGTTTCAGTATGGCCACCGCCCCCCAACAGCGAGCTCTAGTCTATTTTCCATCTGCATGCATTTCCTCTTCAGGAGCATATTTCCAATTTCCTTTCATCCTCAGCCTGGCACTTGGTATGTCAGCACATTTGTAATGCATAGAGTTTTTCATGGGAGGATACAGATACTTCACATGTGCACACACACACACACACAGCTGAGCTAAATTGCTGCTATTTGCAAAAACTCCTTTGTCCTCACATCGATAAAAAAAACACCACTCAACTTCTCCACAAATCATTGCTTCTTAGAATTTCATTATTCAGTAGAAAGAAGAGAAATACTCTCTGTGTGTATTTAAGATTATTGTTCTTCTCTTTCCTGGCATTTCAATTAATGATGCAGATTCCACGACGATTTGATTCAAAGTCAGTCAAGATTTAATGGATTCCTTTTATTAGCTTCCGACAAATTGCCTTTTTAGGGAGGGAAGAGCATTTGCATTATTCATTTGTGAAAGAGCAAGCATTTATGAATTCATTCGGTGTAGTTGTAGATGGACTCAGAGATAAACAGTGGGACTTTGAATGACTAATCACAGAGGAGGATGAACCACGGAGAGATGAATCTGTTCTGACCTTTAACCTCATGTTTTGCTTGTGTAGGTGATCCAGCGCAGGGAGGATGGCTCGGTCAACTTCTTCAGAGCATGGGAGTCCTACCGTGAGGGATTTGGCAAGATCACCGGTGAACACTGGCTCGGTAAGTGACTAAGAGTGTGTGAGTGTGTGTTTACCACTCATGCATATGCGTACTGTGGCCTGTAATGCAAGATGAAACCCTGGAACTAGATAAGATAAGATTAGATCAAATAAGATAGAACTTTATTGATCCCAATTCGGGAAATGTTTGTGTTGCAGCTGCATAAAAAGACATGGCATTGTACAATACAAATTAAAAGACAAGAAATAAACAAGAAAGTAGAAAATATACATGTTGAATTTACAAATTAACAATAACAAGATATAAAGCAAGGTATTATATTTACATAAGTATGTGACAGATGGAATATTAAATATTAGACTGAATATTTAAATGTAAAATGTACAGTGAAGAGAGAAGCTATTGTGACAGCGGACATATACACAGTATTGTCAACGTAGGTCCATTAGCTTAAGTGTTATCTTGATTATGAGACCTAATAAAACCTTAACTCTTAACAACACCACAATGTCAGCCGCTTTGAGATAAAGACGCAAAGCACTGAAAGCAGAAAGAAGGAAGGACTTCAAACACACAGAGTGAAAGAATGACGAGTGATTGAGCGAGACAAATAGACAGCCATAGAAATGCAGATAGGGAGAGATAAGATGACTTTTCACATCACAAGGAATTGAATAATGAAAACCACTTGAGTGAGCATAATGAAGACGATTGCATCTAAAGTATGAGATGTGTGTAAAGTGCACTTTTATTATGGAAGTCTGTTCGGCACCACAATATCACAACCCAAGCCAAAAGACGAGCAATTCAATTACAATATTTTTGTTTTCACAAGGAAAAAACAAACAACAGTATCATTTTTCTTTTTACTATAATTGGTATTTTTCAGAGTATGCTTGTCCAAATCCTTTTATTTCCTGGCAGCATGACACATTAGTCTATGCCTCCACTCAGATTTGACAGGAAGAGAATGCCAACATTGAATGAATTCGACTGTGAAATGATCCACTATTCTAAAGCCAAATTATTTGTCTTCACACCACTTCTCATTATGTGTTACAAACTAATTATTCTTGAGGTGAATACGGTCAGCTTCCATCAAGTCTGTGGCTCAAAGCTGCTCGCACATTCATATCACATGTTATATTTATTTTTGAATCTGTTCACATTCACACAGACTACACACGTCATCGAGCGTATATTGAAATAGACAGCTTCTTCTTCCATCATAGAGTGGCCTTTGTAGCTTCCTTTTAATTGGTCTGACATTTGTTCAGGTAGCGGGAGAGAATGAGCCTGAAAGCAAATTTCTCACATCAGTTGTTGAGACTGAAAATGAGAAAAGCTCATATTAAGGTGAACACTGGACAAGTGAGTCAAACAGAAACACAGCAGCTGCGGAGTGTGACTCGCAAAAAATATAATCACATAATCAAATGTTTTTATGTCTCCATCACAACATTATCTTAACTATTATCCCTGTATACCTCTGTGGGATGCCTTAATATCTTGCTATTGTTTGTTTTTTACGTTCAATCATGTTGTTGAAGTTACACATGAACAGGACCTGTAATGCTTAAGTGGTTTTCCCTTCCCTGTAGTGTGTTATAAAGGTTTAAGTGCATGTAAATGGTCTGCAAAGGCTAAAATCCCTATGTTATCTGAACATTAAAGCATGTGAACCTGTCGCAGTAGAGGCAAAATATAGTAATATATTTACCTGAAAATCAGCCTAATATGGTCCCTTTAAAAATAATGTTGTTGAGAACTTGACCTAAGGCACTTGAATGCCTCATTTCTGATCCCAGACGCTCCAGGGCTTCTGCTGTACCTGTTACCAGCTGTCGAACATACTGTGACTGCACTGTGATTACTTTCAAACGAAAGCAGTGAAATTGTGAAGTTGCCAACCGTCTGAAGCTTGCCAGATGCACACAAGTGATGATTCATCACATCCAACAAAGTGAAAACAACTTAGCTTATGAACTTCAACAAGAAAAGTCCATCACCCAATCAGCAATCAAGGGGATAAATATTGTGATAGTAAGCTATTTTATATTATTGCGAGCACGTTACTGATCACCACATTTTGCCTGCTTGCACAAAAACACCAGTCCCAAAAGCCACAAGCATTTGCAGAAATGTTGTTTCCTGAGGACATTTGGATTGAGCTACAGTGTTAATGAGCTATCGCCATGCTCCGTCTGTGTGGGTCTTTAAAACCTTTCTTTGCTGTTTGCACACCATCAGACTGGTGGAGTAAGTGGAGCTTGAAGAAGTCTATTTCTGTAAAAATAAAAATCTCAGTGATGGTCAAGGTTGTGGACATGCCAAACCACAGCAGAGATACCCTCCAATGAGTACTCTACATTAAAGCACATGTTCACACACACACATCAGGAGCATTACTGAGGTCATTAAGAAGCATCTGTGAGAGCTCAGTTTTTCAGTCATGCTAAATATGGCCCTGACACCAAAGGGGGACATTTGAGTGCAATGCCTGATCAGGGCACATCTATTTTGTTTATTAAGTCTGACTGTAATGATGTGTATTAAATGGCTTGATTACAATAGTATTGCATGCCTTTGCATTGTCTTAAGATAATCACACCAAAAAATCCAGCCTCTCCCAAAATGTAGTCATCAATTCCTCCATGAATTCCGTACAAAAGCATCTACAACGATAAATATATTAAAATAAAATGTACTGTGTAAACAATATATCCGTTGTTTTCCATTACCATTTTCTACGATTGACACTTTAAAAATACAAACAATACAAACTGCTAGTGGAGCCTAGCTAGCAGAGGGGGGGGGCTGCAGCCCCCTCAGCACCCCCTTCCCGCGTCCATTCGCGATGTCTCGCTGTCTCGCAGATCCCACGCAGCAAGCAGGAAATTAACCCAGCTCACACTGTCCGCTCCTCGCAGCAGCGAGCCGACCCAGACCCCACGCAGCATTCTCATCTGTTTGTCCTTACTGGTGTCATTTTCTGGTTGCTAACGCCATTGGAACACATAAACACTGATGTTCCGCTGTAACGGTGGTAGACTCATCAGAACAGAGTGGGCGAGCTGACCAATCAGAGCACAGTGGGCTCACAGGGAGGGGGGGGGGGCAGGAGCTCCAACAAGCCGTGTAGGACAGAGAGTGAATACACATACTATACAGAGATGCTGTATGAGAAACCAATGTGAGTTTGGAACATTGAACAATATAAATCTATTCTAGTAGACCTCAACAATGGAATTATGATCAGTAGAAATGGCCATGACATGGGACCTTTAACACTTGTGCCACCTCCAGGCAAATTGTTGCACAGCAGCAGTTATTTATTTTTGTATAGGCAGATTTCAGAGTGATTGAGAATCTACTAATTAAATGATTGATCAGGATGTGAACATTTAACTTTGGATATGAGCATGCAGGTTGACACAGCAGGTCTGAAACGTTCGGGACTGTAGCTCTCACTGCATCTGTATAATAGTAAGTGGGCCTGCCTGCTTTTGGGTTATTCTCCACCTTCACCACTCTTTACCCTATAGACAGATAGAAATGCTTGCATAGACTGTATAGCGTTTACAGAGGTTATGTGAATTAATGGAGATCTAGGTCTCTTTGCTGACCTGAGGCCATTGCAAAGTGCAGCACATAATAAAAACGTGGTTAGTGTGCCAGCGAGATCTCCCCATGGTACGCTGCAGGAGCATGGTGGGAATATGGAAAGCTCTGGATTTAGTACACTGAATTCCAATGAGCCAGCAGGCAACTTTGAACCTTTCAGAATACCCTTGCTCATCCAGTGTGTGCTGTTGTCTCGTCACCCCCATCATCGATTACCCTCAGGGCATAAATGAAAAATGGATCCATGCTTGCCTGCAGCCTATAGGAAGAAATTGCAGTAACCTCCAACAGCCAAGGATTGCTGACTAATGCCACCGCTCAAGATCTGTACATTTCTATTTTTCATCAAATGTAGCAAGATTTAGTTCAAGGTGTTTGCATTGTTCAGAGCGTCTTTTATTTCGATTGCAGTAAAAGTAATCAGAACATGGTGAGAAAAAGGAGAATACAAAGGCAGAACCAAATTGTGCATTCTTTTTTAAAACGACCTTCCTTCACCGCATAAGATAGTTCCTGAGAGATGTGTGCCGGATGTACAGTTGCAATTGAAATGTTTCAACCCCCATTGCACATTAGGTTAATTGGCAAAATGTGCAATTTCTCAGCTGTTTGCAATAAGCAAATTACACAAGGACTGTTAATCTAGTTCAATTAAACTAATATTACAAGGGTTTTTATCCAAATTCAACACAAAATGCTTTTATTGACTATTGCAGTCTCAAAATGGATCAACCCCCTTTGTCAAGCACACCTGGTGCAATTAATCAGGGGCTTCATTAGTTCAGGTGTGCTTGAGAAAGAACACATAAATACCTGATTGCGGTCGAATAGTCCAAAAATCTGCTCCTATTCCTATCGTCTATTCCTTGACCTCTGTGTGAAACGTCACGGGGTTAAGGAATAGTGGATAGGAGAATTCAAAAGGACTTAGGAGAAGAGACTGCGGTGCTTTGAGAATCCGACTGCACTTTCACTATCCAACATATTTATGGTGCGCCAGCGGAGGTCATGAATGTGTGTCTGCTGCTGTGGGGAAACTATGGAAACTACAGTTTTCTATACAGCGGACTACAACAGGAATGTATAATAAGAATGAGGGACTACTGTAAACTCATCTAGAGACTCTGCGCCGTGCTCTGATGCTGTTGTTTTATGCTTTATGAACGGGGACAACAGAGAAACATATTCTTCATGACCAAAGTTGGAATTGAAATACAAAAGGAAAGTGAAACTTATGCTCGTCACCCTCTCCCTCCGGTCCACATTAATACAAATGATCCCAATACGTATGATTGTATGAAAAGATCTTAAAATGAATACAAATGTATTTATTATATAAACGTTAGTCCTTAACATCTATCACTGTGCATATCACCATTCAAACATCTTTTAAAAGTTGAACAAAGCCCACACAG